TAGTTGATTTGATATTAATATTGATATATATATATATTTTAAAATTTTATGATATCTGTAAATTTATATTTTATTCAAAAATAAATTTTTTATTACTTTTTTAAAAACACATAAAATCATATTATAACATCGACATAGACAAACAATAAAATAGAACATTGAAATCGAGATGTATTTCGCTGCATTGCGCGAGTACTCTTCTAGTTATATTATAAAGCATTTGACAAAAACTCTTAAAAACCACTTTTTATACATGAAATATTGTTTATTGATGATGCATATTACTTAAAATTCAAGATTACAAGTAAATTGTGTATAAATATAACTTATTAAAGCTTAATGTTTGAATTTGTGTAACTAACTGTAGACAAATATAATCAAATAGATGATAAATATCTCATTTTAAATATAAAAAATTTAAAATATGATTAGAATAATCATTGACTTCTAACAAAATACTTGATCATTATCTTTATAACAAATTATGTTATTAAACCAAAAAAAAAATTGAATTAAAGAAATACACAAAAAAAGAGAAAATTTTAATAGTTAGTTTGGTATTAATATCAATATTTGTTTTTAATTTTTTATGATATCTTCATATTTATATTTTATTCAAAAATAACAACATTATCAGTTTCTCAAAACCACAAAAAACTGTATTATAACATTGATTGAGACAAAAAAATTGGAACATTAAAATCAAAATGTATTTCACTGTATTATGTGAATACCTTTCTAGTTTTAAAAATTATTGACTGATATTTGTTATTTTATTTTTTATTTTGGTTAATATCATCATTTAATTATCCCCCCCCCCCTCTCTCTCTCTCTCTCTCTCTATGTACTAGTAAAATACAATAAAGAAAAAAAAAAGATAAAAAAAGTAAAAGGGTAAGCTACAATTTTGGTTGATGTGTTTTTAATCGGATAAGACAAAAAAATAGTAAAAGAATGAAAATGCCTTTATTTAGTAAAAAAAAAAAAAAAATTAACAGCCGTTAAAAAGAAAGATCGAATATGAATATTGTTGTAAATTACGAAAGTTATCTGTAATTTTGAAACTATAAGGACACTTTTTATTTTTATTTTTAACAAACCACAAAGACCAAATTATAAAAATCCAAGGGTCAAAAGTGTTTGAAAGTCTCAGGTTCAAATTTAAAGAGAAATACGAATTCCCTTATGACCACAAAGGTCCAAATGCAGTGACTCTGAGTTACCCGCAAAACAAACGATCGTTATGAGATTAGTCGGCTCGCATAATGAGATGGATATTCAGGTTAATAAAAAAAAAACTATAATGTAAATAAAATAATAATATACTTTAAATTTGTCATATCTTAATTAAAATATATTGCATAAAATAACAAAAGACACATTATATTGTTTAATGACCAGCATAAAATATGTTGTTATCGTGTGAATTTATTAAATGTGTGATTTTCTATTTCGGTTGCAAATAAAGAAACCTTGTTTTCTCGGCTCATCTTCTAGCATTGAAGCGCATGTTGATGTGGGGCTCATCATTCTGTTTGATACCCTAGGGTTCTTTCTTCAATCTCTTGATGGAAACAACAACTTCTTCAGAGGAGGTTTGTAGTCTTGAATTCCAGTAATTTAATCGATTCCACTATTGGAAATCGATGTTTCATAACCTGATTGTTGTTCATTCTTGTTTGATCGCTCATAATTCGCTTGTTAACTTTGGTAAAAAACACATGTTTTTTGTAATTGAGGGTTTTTGGTTTGAAGATTGAGTTAGTAGGCCATTGTAATGCTTTGCCCTAAGCCCTCGCTCAGCCCACAATTTCTACTCTATTTTAAAAAAGTGGGATGTGTTTTAATATTGACGATCGAAGGGGTTACCTTTCAAATTTAAAGTTGATATTGACTTTGAAAATCTTGATTATTGCGTTTGGTTTTGATTTTGATATCAATTTTGATTTCTAAATTGGTGAGGGTAAAGTTATAATCGGAAACATGACTTCTGCAATGAACTTTTGTACTACAAATAGAAAAAGGCATTTGCTTTAAATTGATTTGCCTGGGAAGATTCATTGTTGTCTTGTAGATGATTTGCCTGGACGTTTAATTTGGTGGCAACTCTGTAGCTTATTATTATACTAAGATTAGTTCCCTAAAGGATTAGATGAGTTTTCATGAACTTCCCTGTTATATTGTTAGAGCTTGCGGGCGGGGGAGGGGTGGCTTGGGAGTGGTATGTGTGCATCTTTCTTTTGGAAATAAATACTTAGGTTGGCGATTTTTTTGCTGAATTTAAAGCGGTTCCAGTTTGTTAGAAAGTATTTAAGTATAATACACATTGGTTAAAGTGCTAATGTGAGGGTTCAAGTCCTAAATATGGAAGTCTGAAACTTCTTTTCCGGTGTTAGACACGTGTGCCATGTGGAAGTTACATTAAACAAAATACATAAGTATGGCAAACCGAACCATTGATCACATCTATCTGTCATGCAGCATATTGTGTATTTTACAAGTTTGTTCCCTGGTAATTTTAAGGAGACAACTTCTGATATCTATTTTCAAAGTTTAAACTTTTGTTTTTATACCATGCATCTATTGTATAATGTGGATGTCCTCACCTTGAAGTTGGTTTTAGATCCCTAGGTCAACCGTGTGCCTTTCTTTTTTCAATACAGTGATATATCTATTACTGAATATGGCAAGCATTAATGATTATGATATGATGGATTTGTTTTTTCTGTTTTTTTAGGTTTTGGTATGCCAAACATGTGGTGACGGAGGATACACCAATGCTTTTGTTTATTGTGTTAAGTGCTTGGGATTTGTTGTTCACAGGTACACACCATTCTTGCCAATTTTTTAGCTCTTTATGGTTCTGTCAAATTTTTGCATGGTATGTGCATGCTAACTACTTACGTCGTACTTGTGTTAATAAGTGCTCAAAATATTCCATCTTAAGCAATAGTGACTTAATTCCATCTTGTGTCCGTTCCAAGTAAATATGGATCCATTTTCGGAATGATGAAACGAATCATGATGTGTTAATCCTGGTATAACATTTTGAATCAACCATCATTGCTTCATCATGTTGCCGCTACTAGAATTTACAAGCATTCACTATTGTATATATGTGTAAACTAAAGTTGTATGTAGAAGTCAACGAGTTAGGCCTTGTCTTTTTCTTCCGTAATCGAGTTATATCATTATTAGTGATTGTACTTTAGATTGTTGTTTGTATGCACTGGAAGAAACTCACTACGAATGCATATCAAGAATATTGAAAGGTAAACAATTGCTTATATTGGTTAAAAGGTGTTTACATTCAATATGTATATGAAAATATGTATACAAAGTTACAAACTAGTGGTCCTTGAATCTAGTGTAAAAGGATTCAAACTCGCCAAAACCAACCACAAACATTCCTCTAGGTTCCAAGATACTGGGATTCAGATGCATGTAAACCACCAACAACAAATGCATAATCTGTTGGGTCTAGCAACAAGTGAATGGATATCCAAGCATACAAAACCAACCACAAGCTAAATCCAAGATAATATACCATAAACATGCTAATGAAGTAAAGAGAGTAATGAGACACGAGATTTATGTGGTTCCACTACCATGAGGTAATTTTCGAGATATTGCTGATCACTATATCCAACTAGAAAAAACCAAATGGAGTAAGCTATTCTTTACTCTCTGGTGGATGGAAGAATAGAATATCTCAATTGTTATGTGAAATGAACAAGGGTGACTAGCTAAAAGAGGGTGCAAAGCAATTTAGGCAACCAAGAGGGCCCCGGTGTTTAGAACCTATGCTATCTTTCCCAAGGTATCATTGCTTGGTCGCCTGAAAAGCTCTTCCCCAAACACGATAGTCCAATAAGATGTGCCAAAGCAAAGAGAAGATAGAAATGGATTATAGCATATGAAAGCAAGAGAAATTGGTTGTTCGTTTTATTCAGTTGTGGTTTCATGGCTATATTTATCTTTTGAGTTTTGCCACAATGGGAACATGGGTCTTCTATTATTGCTAGTTTGCTACGTGGGCCTATTTATAGGCCAGGCTGTTTCATTTATAGTTCAGTTTAGAGGTTGCTTTTGATTATATATTGTGATCATAATGCCAAATATCTTAGGTGTGAAAACCAGGAGATCCTGGGGTCTTGAAAGTGATTCTTCAAAAAATGGTTTAGCTTTTTATTAGTTTCTTAAAACTCTTTGCTCAATTCCATCCTACATTGAAAAAAGTAGAAAGGATTACACACAAGAAGGGAATAAGCTACAAAGCTACTGTCCGACATTGTTTTCTATTTTTGTTAATCAGGTACTGCCTAGATGTAATACCAAGGACACCTGATGAGTTTGTCCCTTGGTTTTGTGAAGATTGCAAGCCAGCAGTTCCATATCAGTTCGCTTTACCGAAACTTGAGCCTTCACGGTCTCAGAAAGAGTATGCCACAAGTTCAGCAAATGTAAAAAGAACTCATGGTAAGAAGAAGCAAACGAAGAAAAGGAAAATGGCTCCTTTAGTAGCAGGGAAAGATGTGGTCAGTTGTCAAGAGGAGGCCATAAAGCCTGACCGCCAGTGTGTTTCACCAGCAAATTCTCCGGTAAAAGAAGCATCAGTGAAGTCAGATTCAGGATGCAATCAAATCATTCCATGTGTGGTTTCTCGGTTAGAAAAGGATGTTCTCCAGAAGCAGGCTTCAGAGTCTTCTGAGTTGGACAACAACCGTTCTCCACCGAAAACCAGTGCAGAAACGAAAATAAATGTAACTTCACCAGTGCAGTCAGATTCAGGACACAATCAAACCACTTTGTGTGTGGTTTCTCGGTTGGAAAAGGGAGAATTTCAGAAGCAGGCTTCAGAGTCTGCTCATTTGGACAAAGGAAGTTCAAAAAGGAAAGGGCATGCAACTCCCTTGGCTGTGAAAGCAAAGGAGCATAAAACTCGAAAGACAGTGCATTCAGTCGAGCCTTCTGTGTGTGATTCCAGTTGTACAAATCTAACTTTAAAGGATAATGAGGACATGATTCGCTCTGTAGAGGAGCAGAGATGTGAAATTCAACAGTCCCAGACTGATCATGACAAGTTAGTTTCTGAATCTTCATCCATTGAGTTAACCAAGAAGACTAAGGACTATGATGGCCAAAATGAAACAGTAAACCAGACGGAATACAAACAAGAAATGAGTGCAAGCAAAGCTTATGCTGATACTTATACGTCAACGCTTATTGAAAATAATGAACAATACATCCATTATCCACCTGCAAGACCGGTCTTGGATCCAGTATGGAGGTAATGTGCTTTTGTTGTTCGCTTTTGACTATTAATGGATCTTTGTTTATAAATATATGATACCCAAGTTTGTGCAAGTGTGTCCACACCCCCCAAAACGATCCCCGTTGGCAACAACCATGGTAGTAGTTGCGGATCTACTGGATTTATATACCGCAAATACTAACTACACTCCTCACCTTTGGTGAGGTTTGAGCTCTTGACCTCCTGGGAAGCTGGACTCTACCAATGACCCGGGTACTGCTGGCCCAATAACCCTTGGGTGACTATTAATGGATCTTTAAGTATAGTAACTTATCTGTTGTCTATTCTTTTGAAATTGCAGGGGAAGCTTTAATATTACTGAAACCGATTATGATCTATTTGAAGGATTTGTTGGCCATTTATCAACTAAAGCTTGTTACAAGGTGCGTGAGGAGGCTACTATGCTTCCTTCATTGCTTTGCTTGGAAATGCAACCAAAGATGGCTCTATGGCCGAAGAGCTTCTTGGAGTCCCAGCCATCTGATGAACATATTGCTCTGTACTTTTTTCCAGGCGACACAAAGTAAGGCCGCCCTGATTTGTTTGATCTTCATACTTGATTTTATACTTTCCAATTTCGTTTTGTTTTGTTTATCCTAATATTCTAATTTTGACCCCAGAAATGAAAGGGTTTTTGAGCGCTTGGTCATTGACATGATAGATGAAGAGCTCGCAATGAGAGCCACAGCCAAAAATGCGGAGCTATTGATATTCACTTCTACCGTTCTGCCTCAGTCACACTGGAGTGAGTCCTTATAAGATGGATGAGTAGGAGTGCAAGTGGTTTGGTTTTGGCATGACCAGAAATTGAGCCGTTTCTACTTGGTTCTAAGTTTTCCATGCAAAACCAAACTAAGAAAGCTTTTGAACCATACCATGACCTGATACAGTGTTCAGCCTCATGGCTCCATGGTTTCAAATACTCTTTTCTATTACAAGTAAAAATGGATTCTTTTACTAGATAGATGATTTTGATACAAGGGAAAAAGTTTATTTATCCCCTCTACCATGACCTGAAACACTGTTTGGCCACTGCACTATAAACTTCATACTTTTCTCCAATTCACTTCAATTCATGATGACATCTTTTGCCAGTGTTTGTCACCAATTTACTCCTACTGAGAACCGGTCACAATTTACTCTTATTGAAAATCAAGTAAAGCTTTTCCCCAAAAATGAATTAAGTGGGCAAAATGTGATGGGGAATTGGAGTACGGTGGTCATTGGAAGTTTGTAATACGATGGTTAAAATTCTCTTAGGTTACGATAGAGGAGCCAATTTTGGATTACTTTTTTGTACTATGAATAAACAAAATTATTTTTCTTCTAAGAATGAAAGTTGAATTATCGTAGTATGTAAATGATTCTAATACAAGAAAATTGATTTAAATTCAATTTAATATAGATAGTTTGGTTTTGTACCCAAGTTGGTTCGCAAATAGGTACTGTGAATATAAAATCCTACCCAAAAAGTGAAGTGTTGCAATTTGACAAACAAAGCAGCATCCTCATCTGTTCACCAGAATGAAATGATTTCATTTGCAGGATTCCAAGGGAATTATTATCTCTGGGGAGTTTTCAGAGCCAAATTAAAGGATTCTTCATCACATGTGAATCAAGATCTTGCAGTCTCAAATAACAGTGTTGACCATGACCTGTCTGAAAATTCTCTGAACGAAGTAACAAGTGGAGAGAAAAACCAGGCAAGCGTGAAACTTTTTGATTCTCGGAGTCCTCAAAGTCCTTTGTGCAATTACAGGTAGTATTCCTTCTGTACATTCTCTCTTTTCGGTTCTGTGACACTGAGATCTTCTCCATTACACAACTCTTCCATGTTAAAGAAAAAGAAACATATGATTGGCACAAACCACCTTTGATGGCGGATGTTTTGTGATCATGGAAGGTCTTGATCCCTTTTTACTAGAACAACTAGCTTTTTTGTTAATAGTTTCTTGGGCTATAGGCTTAAAAACATTTCTAAGAGTTATTTATGCTGAAATTTCAAAATCTTGCGCATGACTATAATAGTTTAAGCAATAAATGAGTTATAATAACAATGCTGATTAAACCAATATTGCAACTTGTACAACGTTGTAGATTGAAAATGGGATCGTGTATTTATTCTTGTTGGATAACAACACTACGAAATGAATCGATACTATAACTTGTATAACACTACAAATTGAGCCGATATCGTAATTAGGCTCTGTTGCCATTGTTGAACCGTCAATATCCATATGGCAAGAAGATTGATGTCCCATTTGAGATATAAAGGACCATCAATATTGTGTGATAAGGATCTTAGTGATCTTCATGATTCTCTCTGATATAAATTCCTATTAATTGAGCAACAAGGAAACAATGTCTCATTAAGGAGAGAATGGTAAGATCAAACTAACTTAATTCCCTTACCAAAATATTAAGTTTGAGAAGCCTTCTAATATGGCCTTATCAACGCTTTGATCACCAAGGATAGGTTATACTAGCGTTGGGTGCTCTTTAATTATGGTAAGGGGCTATTTGGTTGGTTTTTCATTAAGCATGTATGGATAAAGTTGTCAGTGTGGATTAATCTGTATGTATAGTTTGAGAATGTTTTTGTTTGAGAGGGTTTTTTCATAAATGAAAGTAACGTGTTTTTGTTTGAGAGGGAGAGACATGCTTGGAAAAAAAAAACTTGGCTTTCTGCATAAAGCTCCCCCTAGAAGCATACTGAATAAGTCACTTTCTCTATCGTTAAGCCACTACCAAACGGTTATGTATAGCTGACCGAATAAGCTGCAAGTCTCATTAAGCTCATTAAGTTGTTAACAAGCAAGTTCTAAGACAAGGTTAGATTATGATTCCTACATGCTATATGGGGTCAAAATTAATCGAATTAAGATTTATAGGATTAAGGACTTGGAGATTCGTATGACGAATTTGAGTAAAGAGTTGTACATCCAACTACCTAAGAGTTACATGGAGACGTAATTTGCAAGATTGTTGCTTACCTAAAACATAATTGGTTGATCGGTTAACTACAACTAAATTGATTAATAAATGTCTTATCGAACAAAATACTTTCATTACACTAAAACTTTGCATTTTCTATTGTAGATTACCAATGGCTCAAAACAACATTGTAAAACAAAACACCTTACGATCTATCATTGAGAAGCAAAAACTCAACAAGATGAATTTCATTGATTGGTATCGTGCTTTGAGGATTGTACTTAGAGCGGAAAAGAAGCTTTATGTTCTAGTGCAACCTATTCCCGAAGAGCCCAATATTGATGCTCCAAGTATCGAAAGGGATGCTTTCAAAAAGCATTTAGAGGATGCATGTGAGGTCTCATGCCTAATGTTAATATCCATGGAACCCGAGCTTCAGAAGCAACATGAGAACATGTTGCCATTCGCTATGATCGAACACCTTAAGTTGTTATTTCAAGAACACATTAGACATGAGAGGTACGAGATATCAAAAAGATTGTTAGGTTGTAAGTTAGCTGAGGGAACTCCTGTTGTACCTCATGTACTTAAGATGATTGGGTACATTGAGCAACTCAAGGGGCTAGGGTTTCCTTTACGAAACGAATTAGCCTCGGATTTCGTTTTGCAATCATTGCCAAACAGCTACAATCAGTTCGTTATGAACTATAAAATGCAAGATCTCGAGAGCTCCCTTTCTGAATTGCTCGACATGTTACGAACAGTTGAACAAAAGCTTTCAAGAAGTAAGTTGACCATTCCAATGGTTCGTTCGGACAACCAGATGAAAGACAAAGGAAAGTCTATTGCCAAGTCTGCTTCTAGAGCTTTAAGGCCTAAAGGAGCTATAAAAAAGAAACCCAAGGGTAACATAACCAAGGAAGGCGAGTGTTTTCACTGTAACAAGCAAGGGCATTGGAAGAGAAACTGCCCTCTTTATCTCGAGGAAAAGAAGAAGGGAAGTATGACTTCTACTCCAGGTATCTATGTTATTGAAGTTAATATTTTTTGTTGATATACATAATGGATATTTGATACGGGATGTGGTTCTTATATTTGTCGAAATATACAGGAACTAAAAGATAACCAAGAGGTTGAGCAAATGTGATGTTGATATGTGTGTGAGAAATGGAGCAAGAGTTGATGTGGTATGATCTATTTTGTTAACTTAACCGTCTAGATTAAGTTTACAACCTGATAATTGTTATTGCATACCTTATGATAGAAGTTTGATTCTTGTTTCATGTTTGGACAAGAAAATTTTTAGTTCAATCGGTAAGAACAACTGTTTTTCATTATGTTCAGGCAATATGTTATAACGGTGCATGTTTGATTGATGGGGTGTGTGTGTATATATATATATATATATATATATTATAATTTGGATAATTCAATTTATAACATCAACGAAGAGAGATAAAATCGAATAGTTGGAATTTGACCTATCTTTGATGTGGTCGCTTTTGCCATACAAGCAAGACTCGTATTTTCAAACTCCATGAGAATGGATTGGTGGATTCATTTTATTTTGAATCTCATGTTTGTTGAACATGTTTATTAGGCAAGATGACAAAGACTCATTTGGTTGGACAAAGTGAGAGAGCAAGTGACGTCTCAAACACAATGATGTATAGGAGTCATTGAACATACAAGGTAAAGGTGGTTATAGATATTTCATTACATTTACCAACGATATCAGTAGATTTTATTACATTTACTTATGTCATATATAGAACAACAAAGCATTTGTTAGTATCATCGTTTTTTTTGGAAAAAGAGTTTATTTCCAAAGGAATCAGGGAAAAAGAAATGTAGATCTTAAAGTCGTATAAGATAAGAATATGCCAACAGAGAGGGAACCAACAACAATCACCATAAGTAGTTGATTTAGAAGGGGTTGTGAGAAGGTAGTTTGACGCACTAGCATAAACTATCAGATTTGGTAGGACACAGTACGAGCCTAAGGGGTACAAAGTTCTTGTTACTCATACGACAAATGTGATGATCATGGATGATGAGCCACTACTTACCAAGAAGATCTGCCAAGCACGAAATCTTAGGAATAACTAGATACTATGAGAAATGAGATGGATTCCATGTATGAAAACCAAGTTTGGAACTTGGTTGATCACCTAATGAGGTAAGACTTATGGGGTGCAAATGGGCTTTCAAGAAGACTACATGTTTGGTAATGTGATTACCTACAAAACACGATCAATTGTGAAGGGTTTCAAATAGATTAAATGTGTTGACTATGATTAAACTTTCACTCCAATGGCAATGATAAAGCCTATAAGGAGTCTACTAGCCATTGTAGGTACCATGAATATGAGATATGGCAGTAGATGTCAAAACAACTTTTCTTATTGGAAGTTACTTGAGGTTGTGTATGTGAGAACCAAAAGTTGTCACTCCAGAAATCTCTCATAAGGTATTCAAGTTGCAACCACTCCATTTGTGGATTGAAAGAAGCTTCGAAAAGTTGGAATCGTCGTTTTAATTTATCACCCACATAGTTTGGTTTCTTAAAAGTCGAGGAGGAACATAATGTCTACAAGAAGGTTAGTGGAGTGCAATATCATGCCTTTGTTGTATGTAGATGACATACTACTAATTGGGAATGACATCTCAATGCTCTAGTCTTTAAAGGCTTGGCTAGGGAATTGATTTTTTCATGAAGCACTAGGATGAAACAACCTATGTGTTAGGCATCAGAATCTATAGAGATAGATCGTGGAAATTGTTTGGCTTGAGTCAGAGTACATGTATAGATAATATGTTGAAGTAGTTTACCATGCATGGCTACAAGAAGGGTTCTTGCCTATATCTTATGGGCATATCACTTTGTACGACCCTTTACTACGCCTTAATAGAGTAATGCAATTAGTGAGATTTCATATGCTTTGACAATTGGATCTATTATGTATGTCATGATATGTATTTGACCTGATGTATCGTATACTTTGAACATGACGAGGAGATATCAATCTGATGGTTACTGGGTTACCGTCAAAAAATAACTTAAAGTAATTGAGGACACAAAAAGTCATTCTTGGCATACGACATTGTAGAGTTGAGTTTAAAGGGTTACATTAATGCAAACTTTCATGTTGATAAAGATGATTTTTGATCGCCATCTGATTTTGATTTTTTGCGTGAATGGTGAATCCGTGAGCTGGAAGCTAGAGTTGCAAGCAAGAGACAATAACTAATCTGCAACATAAGTTGATAATATTGCAACATTAGATGCAACTAAGGAAGTAGTTGGATGAAGTTCATTTTTTTTTAACTTAAGAGTGGTTTCTTTAGTTCCACTGAGAATGATAGTCTTCCTATATGTGTCCATGCCGGTCATAATAGAATTGATATGGCTTCGAAACAACATGAGCCACAAAGACGAGAGAGAGTGAATACTCCTTTATTTTGTAATCATCAAAATCTTTGGGGAGGGTACTCTAAGTAACAGGTACCTCTAGAACCTCGACCCCCACATTTGAGTAGGCCAGAAGCCAAAAAGACGGATTCGCTCATTGTTGCCTTTATAACATTCTAGAGTAGAGATATGCAACATACCTACTAGACATAGAAAGGCACCACTTCTTAGTTTTATGGAGAAAGGAGCTTCCCTTCAAGCGAGTAAGCTAAACAGAGACGAAAATATAATTAGTACTATTTTGGCCAGCATTAGTTATAAGTGCAGTAGAACCGACCACAATTGGAACTACTTAACTACTATCGTGGTTGTTGCCAATGGGGATCCCAGGCGATTGTCTGTATCAAGCCTACCATCTCTTCTCTTTATCTCCCAGTAGTGAAGGTCTTATAGAGTTGTTTTGTGATAACAATGGAGCTATAGCAGAAGCAAATGAACCCATGTCTCATCAACGATCCAAACATATCCTTAGATAAGGTCATCTCATATTGAGAGACTATCGAGAGCCAATATCAACATATTTAGAGTACTTACCGACGCAAACATTGTTTATCCACCGACAAATCCTTCAAGATAGAGAAGCATGATGGCCATTGGTGCTTTATTCAGAACATGGTTGATTGGCTTTAGTGTGAGTTGAAGATTTTTAGCGTATGCCCAAAAGCCAATCCTCAGATGGTCGTATATTTGGACATTTTGTCATGATATTTATCAATAAGAGACATCACACAAATGTTATATTATATTATTTTTTTGTGCTCTATTTAAATATAACAATAATCTTTATGGTAATGTATTCAAATTCTCCCTGAATATTACTTTGATAACGAGGTTGAAGTAATATGGTAATATCTAATATATGTAGAGATTCATATGGAGATATAAAATCTATATATGGGTACATGATAAAGATAGTGTACCGGCTGTGACTTTAATAACGTTGCATTGGATGCCATAAATGTTTCTAATGTGGTCATTATAGATTTAGTCATTTGACTTGAGAATATAGCGTTTGTTGTTTTTGAGTGGTGTACTCTGACACTACTTCTAATCATTCTGTAATTGGTGACAAAATGGTAGTTAGCTATGTCATGTATAACATGGTAGTACTAGCCTCTATTTAAGATATGATTTGTTTCTTTTATATAATTGGAGTGACGTCTCTCTAGGTCTCCCTAGAAGGAATGACACTGAGGAAATGCATGCATGCTCACATAATTGATATGAGGATATCGATATCTATTTTGTTAGTGCATTTAGGAATTAAGAAAACAGGGATTGGATATAGCGGGGATGACACGTCCATGTCTCAGTGTCCGATCTAGATATTGAGGACATAGAGACATAACATGCACATTGATAATAGTCGCACTCATATAATCATGTATGACTCCCCAATATTTATCAAATTTAAGCAACATACTTGATGCCATGTTCCTAATAATGTTATTCTGATCGTCTTGCCAACTCTTAATAGATACTTTCGTGTCATGTCAAGGGGAAGAACATGTTGGAAGTGGGATACTTGGTTCCGGAGAATGTCTCAGTCACACGATAAAACAAACCTAACTTATCACACACATCAGTCGCCATTTTTCATTCCTCTTCACTAGGTAAAAAAACATGATGTTTATCTTTCTTGCTCAAACGAGTAAAAACATCTTTATATTCTAAAGCAACATTCAACATTGTATAAACAGATTTCCGCCTAGTCTTAAAATCAAACACTAATTCTCTTTCACAATCTACACCTAGTTGTCGTGTAACGAGTCTAAAGTCTTGGGCTCTTTTAAGAGAACATGTCCAAAATGAGACAATATCCTTAACATTCTTGATTGCTTTCTCAATCACAGAAAACCCATTTTGCACAATGAGATTAATGATATGCGCACAACATCTCATGTGAAACAACTTACTCTTTAAAATTAAGGAGGAAGAAGTAAGAGTACCTAAGAGCCTGTCAACCAAATCATCATTTGTTGAACAATTGTCAAGTGTCAATGTCGACAACTTGTTGTCAATGTTACAATCTATAAAGCACTCAACCATAACTTGGGACAATGCATCAACGGTGTGTGGAGATGGCACATGTAAAAAGCTGCATCAAAGAATATATTAAAATGAGAATATTAACACTGAATTATAAAGATTTACATAATATTAAAATGAGAAATAACCTGATAATTCGATTTTGTAACTTCCAATTGGCATCTATGTAGTGTGTTGTTGGTGTCATGTAACATTTGTTTTGGTTACCTGTCCACATTGATACCAAGTCTGTCACACCCCGCTAAAGCGGAAACACGAGGAGTGATAGTTCAAGATTTCACAGCGATAGGGCGAAAACAACACCAATTGTCCATTCAAATACATAACATATAAAGTCCGNCCAAAGATCGCACATATGAACTTTCGATGAAACGTAAAGATCGTGGAATAGAACAAATTCTTGGTTTTACTAGACCTGATAACATTGAGATACATCCTGCTACCGGTATAAGGAACAAAGGTTGTGGTACGTCCAAAAGATTGATTGCTGCAGCCGAGAAAGCAGCAGTGAAGAGTAGCAGGCCTAAGAGGATGTGTAGTGGATGCAAGTTGATGTCTAATCATGATATCCGTAACTGTCCAAATAAGACAAAGTAGTACTATTTTGTTTTTGATGTTTCTGAGCCATTTCTTTTATATAATTACACTTATCAGTTTTTTTTATGTTATTGATCGGAATTGAATTCGTAGTTGTTATCACTTTTTAATGGAATTATATATGTTTATCTACTGTGTTGAGTACAAGTTATATAGTTAGAAAAATATAACTGGTTAAGTTGGTTTAGCAATTCTTGACTATTTACATGATGCATGATTCATGGTTATAGTTCTGATTAAATGTGGAACAATATGATACATAATAGAAATCATCCTACAGTTTTTACTAATTAATTCATGATTTCTAATTATGATGAACTGTATGATGTATTGTGAGATGATGTGATATGGTGTGCTACATATGATACATAATAGTAATCACCCAGTACATACAAGTGTTATAACAGGTTTTACTAATTAATTAATGATTTGTAATTATGATGTACTGTGAGACTATGTGATACATATCATCCATACATGTATTGCAATATGTACCAACCATATGATACATAATAGAAATCACAGTACATACATGTGTGATAACAATTTTTACTACTTAATTCATGATTTGTAATTATGATGTACTGTATGATGTGATACAATGTGATACATATAATACATAATATAAATCACCCAGTACGTACATGTTATTGCAATATATACCAACCATTAAACAACTTAATGAAATTAGACAACAT